GGGGGCTGGAGCAGCTCTGCTCTGGAGACAGGCTGGGAGAGTTGGGGTGTTCAGCCTGGAGAAGAGAAGGCTCCAGGGAGACCTTAGAGCACCTTCCAGTGCCTGGAGGGGCTCCAGGAAAGCTGGGGAGGGGCTTGGGACAAGGGCTTATAGTGGTAGGGTGAGGGACAATGGCTTTAAACTAGAGCAGGGTAGATTCAAATCGGATGTCAGGAAGAAGTTCTTCACTGTGAGGATGGTGGATGACTGGAACAGGTTTCCTAGAGAAGCTGTGGCTGCCCCATCCCTGGAGACATTCAAGGTCAAGCTTGACAATGCTCTGAGCAACCTGATTTAGTTGAAGATGTCCCTGCTCACTGCAGGTGGGGCTGGACTAGATGATTTTTAAAGGTTCCTTTAACCCCACACATCCTGTGATTCCTTGTTCTGCTTGTTAAGGCAACAGCTGCAAGATGACTGGTTGCAAGTGGTGGTGGAAGAAAGTCCAGTGTTTGCTCTACCTTCCTCATTAACAATGAGATCTCTTCCACGTAGCAGTCAAATAAACGGCCTATAAATGATTTGTTTGTCAGCAAGTGGGTCCTTTATCTGATTTGCAGGAGAGCTGGCATAGTGCACAACCAGCAGTTTCCTCTCCAGGAAAGCTGCTTAGGCAAAGCTCTCAGAAAAGCTCCTTACTCTGTAGACCAATATCATTTAATCTCAGTGTCACCTTAAATGGGTTACTGCACTGGAAGCCAGAAATGGTGGCTCAGTATCTTCTTGCTGGACAGTACTGTGAAGGTCCTCACCCTTTGCTAAAAACACTAATGCATGATAAACCTTCAGAGGCTACAATCATGCAACCAGCCAGAACAGTGCAGTTACTCAAGCACCATCCCAGGACTCCAGAGGGATTTGTGATCCCAAAAGTCAAGGTCTGCTTCCAGCTGTAAGTCAAAAAGAGTTTTTCAAGACACTGTGGGCTTCACCTGCTAAAAGGTAGAGCTTTTGTGCAGTTGGCCTAATTAATGGTTTTGATGTCATAGAAATAAGTGGTGTGGTCCAGGTGAGAGGCAAACAGAAGGTGATGATCTGAAAGGAGCCTCGCAGCAAATCCAGGTCCTCAGTGGGCAGGTGGAACTGAGGGAGCCTGGAGAGCAGTGGAACAACTGAGACTGGGAAGAGAGGGAAGCCAGTGCTGACCAGATCCAGTATAGGGAGGGGTGAGAGTGTTGAAAAGTGTCTCCCAGACTGTTGGAGGTCCCCAGACTATGGGAGCTCTGGAAGGTCCTGGGTCTCTGCTGCATAGATGGAACATGAGACTCACAACAAGCATGCAGAGGTAGGATTGATCCAGCAGTGCTAAGGTGGACATTTTGTCAGAAAAAGAGAGCAAAGAAGGGTTTGAGTGATTAGCATTTTAATATATTTTCAATAAAGAGATGATGAGAATGGAAGAGTTTGTTCTTCACATGGAGCAGAATAAACTGATCAAAAAGAAATCTTGACACTTTAGCAAGCCCCCAGTTTGGGTAACAGGTGGGTGAGGAGAGAAGCAAACCTGCTTCAGAAAATGAAAAGGCAAGCAGCTGAAGGTGAGCATCTGCAGTTACCATATTTCCCTGCTGCTGGGATTTCCCCACCACCCCACCCATGGTGTCGGGGAAGTGGCCCAGCTTTTATCTCTCCTCAGAGCCACATGCTTTACCGCTTAACTCCACTGCAGTTAAAAGAGATCAGAATGGGGAGGGGCAAAGAAACCTGAGTAACAAAGATGTGGTGTTTTACATTTCTATTTGAGCTGAGTGCCCGCTGTGTGACTTGTGTGACAGTCCTGGGCTCTGTTTCTTTAGCAGACCCTGGGGTGCTGAGAGTGTTTCCGTGTGTGGGTTCTGCACACAGACAGGCTGGTTTTTGTGGAATGCAACCTGCCTAAAAGTGACCCTGCATCTTCCATGCAACTGCTGCATGTGAAAGAAGAGTGCCAGCTTGAGGGTGACAAAAAAACAGCAGAGAAGTGCAGAAGTGTTACCAGACAGCCTGACTTGGCAAGGGTTCCCCCTGCTCAGCTTCCACCCCTGCTGCTGGTTGCTTCTTCCAGCACAGTTTTGCAAAGTCATCTCTCCTCTTGGCTTTGAACCAGTTTGCAGTTTGGCTAAATCCATCTTTTTCTATAGATTGAATCATAGGTACAGGATGTGAGACTGTGCAGGAAGCAGCTTAGGAAGTTAGGTGAAAAAGCTTCTGGAAGTAGCATGATGGAAGAGGCTGCAACCACCAGGAAAGGTGAGGCTTTGAGGGCTGACACACTTCAGCTACTGCAGCAAGTGGCTCAGACCAGCTGGAAATGCTCTGCATCAAAATTGAGGATTTTTGGAAAACAAACTCGTGTTGGCATGTGGGGAGACTGCAAAAGAGGGGCTGGTAGCTGAGTGCTTTTCTGCAGGTGTTGGAAATTGAAACACTGATATTAACATGCTGGTATGTTTAATAAAAGTGAAGGTACTGATCTTCAAGTAGATAAGGAAGGCAGGAATGAGTTGTCTTCTTCATTTGTTGATGGACCTTCCAGAAACAGGAAAATATTTCTCAGTTATTGTTGTAATTGGGACTCTCTTCTGATAATTTATTTAAGAACCATCTTGGAATTATTTGCCAAAGCAATTTGCAATTGCAAAGCAATTTTGCCAAAGCAGAAAAAGGGGAAGAACCTTATTCTTGTCTTTACAGGCTCAAGATGTAGTTTAATGCACTACAAAGAAAAGAAAACTTGCTGTCACTTCCAAATGAAATAGAGTTCTGTTGTTCTTGGCATCTGTACCATTTGTAAGGGAAAAAAAAGAAAATTTACTGTGGGGCTTTTGCTAAAAATTATTATGGTGATGAATGACCCAGAAAATGGTCTTGTTTTGTGTCAAGAGCTTCCTCAGCTCTGTATTTTTTTCATGAGCTAGTGGTTAAAAAGATGGGTTTGACTTTGCATGTACAGTAAGATCCTTTCTGACCTGTTTGTCTCCCTCTTGTGTGTGTTCAGCATCCCTTCTCTTGGCTTTCTGGGAGTTTGGTTAAACAGAATCAAGACCAAATACACTTTCTTTTCAGTTTTTTCCTGAAGGACAACTCTCCCATCCCCATTTCTGGTATCCTTGCTGGTTTGGGCCTGAAAGGGCCTCCTTTTTAATATGGACATTTCTCAATATACTTAATTACCTGTTCGAATCTCTTCCTGCTTTAATGGAACAAGTGTTTGCTTTCCAGCCATTAAAGGAAGCAATTACCACATTAGTGTCACAGATGTAGCAGAGAAGCATTTAGAAATCAATATAATTGTTCTTCAAGAGATCAATTCCTGTGTTAATAGTAAGGGAATGCCCAGGGGCTGCCACTGAAATTTGAAGAACTCATCTTTCTAAGCTTTAACCACCTTTGCAATGCAGCAGCAACCAGAGGCCACTCAAATTGGGAACTCATTGTACCAAGAGCTGTACAAATGTAAATTTCTCTGCAGAAGAAAGTGTTTTGTAGTTACACCTGTAAAGTGTTTTGGAGAAGAGCAAAACAAATTTGGAAAGAAAAGCATGGAAAGCTGCAAGTGTATGAGCTCCCAGTAAGAACCTGTTCTTACTTAAAACATTTTTAAGTCATGTATGACATCCCAGAACTTGTAATCAGTTTTGCTGTTTGAATGTGTGAGTGTTCTATATTGCCTGGAATGTCACAGAGTCATGGAATGGTTTGGGTTGGAAGGGACCTGAAAGATCATCTAGATCCAACCCCCTGCATGGGCAGGGACACCTCCCACCAGCCCAGGTTGCTCCAAGCCCCATCCAACCTGCCCTTCAACACTGCCAGGGATGGGGCAGCCACAGCTTCTCTGGGCAACCTGGGCCAGGGTCTCACCTCCCTCACAGCAAAGAATTTCTTCCTCATGTCTAATCTAAATCCTCCCTTCTCCAGTTCTAATCCATTCCCCCTCATCCCATCCCTTCTTGCCCTCATCCCAAGTCCCTCCCCAGCTTTCCTGGAGCCCCTTCAGGTACTGGAAGGTGCTCTAAGGTCTCCCTGGAGCCTTCTCTTCTCCAGGCTGAACACCCCAACTCTCCCAGCCTGTCTCCAGAGCAGAGCTGCTCCAGCCCTCTGAGCATCATCGTGGCCTCCTCTGGACTCGCTCCAAGAGCTCCAAGTCCTTGTTACATAGGGGTTTCCAGAGCTGGACACAGTGCTCCAAGTGAGGTCTCACAAGAGCTGAGTAAAAGAGGAGCATCACCCTTTGTGTCACCATTTTAGTGTTCCCAGGCTTGGAGCTTTCTGAGTTGGCATTATTTTGTTACATGTTTTTAGGACTTTCATAGTAGGTAACTGAAAGTATTTACATTGCAAATAACTGAAAGCAGAGACTGTAGGTTTTGGCTCACAACCAAGCTTATAAAAAAAGACATTTTTAATACAATCATATTTTGTCTCCTATGCCTAAAATACTTGATACAGTTCTTTACATTCCAACAGACATAGTTGGCTTGTGTGTCATAAGAGGTTTTGCCTCAAACTGTTTTACACACAGATGTAGCTCCACTGTTCTTTGTGATGACACCAAACGTACACCCATGCATGTCAGAGCAGAATTGGGGTCATTTATCTCAAATATGGATGTGGCACCAAAGTACAGGGTAGGGCAGGGACTTCCTGCCATGGGATCTGCAGAGGAAACATAATCATGCAAATGAAGGAAGCAGGTTGCTATATAAGAGTGGTTTTCCCCTCTGTGTCAGATCTCTTAAGAACCAGCTTAGGTGTATTGTGTGTGAGCTTCCAGTACCATGTGAGGTTGTTACTACTTTTAGGGTGGCTTCTAAAATGAATGGTGCCATCAAGGGAGAACTTAAACTCATTTTTTAAGCTTTTTGTCTGCTGTCTGTCCCAGTAAAACCAGCCTGCAGATAGAGAAGATGATGCTTTGCTTAAAACTAAACCTGATCTGGGGAGGAGCAAACTGACCACTTGTCATCTTTTCTGTTCAGGAGGAGGAAAAAAGGAAAGCAAAGGAAGAAGAGGAGAAGAGAGAATATGAAGAGTACCTGAAGCTGAAGGAGAGTTTCGTAGTTGAAGAGGAAGGGGTTGAAGAATCAATGACAGAGGAAGAGGTATGTATGTTAGGCTCTTACTGCAGTTTCCTTTGTCTTTGTCAGACTCATTGCCATTACTGCAAATTGTCTCATGTAAAATGAACTTGAAAGGAAGAGTCAGCCAAGTGTTTTTTCTTGTAAGAGCTAAATTATGTATGTGGCACATGATAACCTGGAATATTTCCTGGGGAATGCTACAGTCCCTCATTCCAGACTCCTACAAGGCAGAGTACTAAGGCAAATGCATATCAAATGGGTTCTCTCCTCCCTTAATGTAAAGACTGAAATAAAACTCATCCTGGAAGTCAGATTGTCTTTCACTGTCACCACTCTACCCATACCCAGTGGGCCAGATGAAAGCCAGGCTAAACACAGAGTTTGGTGATGCCCACCTATCTTGGGAGGGATTGCTTGGCTTTGGTTTAATTTTCTACACCCAACAGAGCTTCTGTGAAATCAAATTAAAAACCAAGCTCCTGGCTTAGATGGCACCTGTTGAGAGAATTCACAGGACACAGCCTTGTGTGTTGGATGCTGGAAAAAGCTGTGCATTCAGTGTTGCAAAGGGTTGCTCTGGTTGAGGGTGTTTCAAAGCTCTGCCTGAGGTTCCAGCCTGTTCCTCCCCTGGCTGCCTGCAGCCCTGCTGCTGGGGATGGGGCTTGAAAGGTGATGCTTGACATAATATCACAGGAGCTTGAAAAGTTCCACAGCATTCTTATCCTGCCTGCTGAAAACCTGTCAGACTAATTGCTATCAAATGCTGAAGTTGCTCTGGGGTTGTAGCTGCCACTTTTGAGCCATCCAGTGCATTTCATGGTGAGTGGTTTTTTCTGGTCCATGTGTGTATTTGCTCCTCTGCTGATGGGACCCTGTTCCATCAGATGGATTTGCTGTTAGTGTGAGAGTGGCTTTGAGCTGAGGAGCTTGCAGAGAGTCAAAGCTGCTTGACATTAAGTCACAAGTTCTCACTATGGACCCTTCTCATTTCAAGAAATTCCTCCCTCTTGCTGGGATTAACACCAAGAGAGATTTTGTCTCGTGGTGGTGAATTTCCTAAGATGCAGAGAACACAGTGCAAGGCATTCTTGCTCTTGAAAGTTCATTCAAAAATGTGTGCCTGTCCTGTTAGAAGACCAGATTACACCTAAATGTTAAATTGATACCTTTAAAGCTGGGATGTGGTTATTGGCTGTGCTCCTGCAGCTGCCTCTCAAGGAGAAATTAGAGCTTGGTGGGCAGTTGGTGATGCCTGGATCTCAACGTGAGGTGTTTTTTATAAGAGTGGGGAAATAGAAGTTTAATAGTAGGTGATTTGAAAGTCATCTTCAGGAACAACCAGAGGCAGGTGATTATTTGGAGACACCAGCCTTGGAGAAAGGGGAAGCTGCCCTTCTGCCCCGTGGTGGATAAAGTACTGGAGCATTTCAGGATCCTGTTACAAGGGCTGACTCTGCCTGGTGTTGTTGAGTCTAGCGTGCTGGAACTCATGCTGAAAATTAAAAGTCCTGAGTCCAGAGCTAAGCAGTTAATTAAGGCTGATTGATTTCCAGGGTTGCAGAGTAACTTGATCTCCTGCTAACTGAACTGCACGCGTTTGCGTTGCCTTTGGAAATCGAGCTGCTTGCATTCAAATGCTGGGTTTCAGGTGCAAAGCTTTGCAAACAGCTTCAGCTTCCACATGTGTTGTGCAGCTGAGGGGGCCTGACCATCTGCATGTGCTGCCTCCTGAATCACCCTGTGCTTCACCTCTGTGCAGAAGGTCCTCAGTGTGTGTCTGTAACGTGATACCTGATGCACAAACTCACCCGGGAGTGGTTATTTCAGGGTATGAACGAAGTGAAGAGAAAAAGGTGTAAAGATATCCTTTCAGAAAACACATTGTAACTGAGCCATATTCTGGCTTAAAAAAATACTTCTCAGAACTTCCTAGTTAGTATTAAATCTAGATATTTTTTTTCCAGTCCAAAATCTCCCTCAGTCTGTATGTTTAAAACTTGGCAAATGTGCAAGCCAAACACTTCTGTAGTGTTTGTACTCAGCAAGTTTGCAACGCGTTTCATCTTCATGGGTATAAAGTAACATTTGTTTTCCTTGCTGTACCCAGTCCCGCAGCTTTCTCATGGAATTTCTTGACTACGTGAAGGTAAGCTCCCATTGTTCTTTCTCCTCCTTCCATGCTTGTGTAAAATACCTTTATCAAAGAGCTGAGTTGCAGAAAGAAGGAAAATCTTTTGCTTCCTTGCTGAAATTGCTTGGAATCACTGCTGGATCTTGGCTTTCTGGGGCAGGGTTGTAGCTCTGACCCTCTCGGGGCCTCATAAACTCTTCGCCTGGTGGCTCAGCCTCGACTTTCTGACCCGCAGTGTTTGCTATTGATTGGGATTTGGGACGTTCAGGCTTTTTGTTTGTGAACATCAGCTAGTGATTTAGAAAACAATCTCTGCAGCTGGGCTCGGCATGAATGAGAATGGCTGGAGCAGCCTGGGTCCTGCCCTGCAGGATGTGCTGGTGTCTGAAAGGGGTTTTAGAGGTCCAGCTTTTCATGCAGTTTCTTTTCTTGCTTTTATCCCTGCAATTTGCAATGTTGTCTTAGTGTTTGGGAGGGATCTTGAAAGAGAAGGGTGTGTTAGACTCCCTTTCATGAGATTGTATGGTTGGTAATTCAAAACCTGTGGTGTGTTCATGAGGATTTCCACTTGTGATCTGTAAGGACAAATGCTTCTTTCTCCACTGTCAATCAAAGGTCAGATGCATCTTTCTTCTCTTACTTTCACAATGTTATGCAAATCTTTTGTCCTAATGAATCCCTTTCCACATTTACTGGGAGCTGAGCTCTTACCTGAGTATGAAAGGCTTTATTAGCAGGCAAATCGTTCGTGTACTTAGGACCTCCTGATGGTTTTGTTAACCCAGAACCTGGCACTCTGGGCCAGTCTTACACGTTCCTTACCCAGAGTTACAAACAGATTTGTCTCCTGGGTGACTCTCCTCAAGGAGATAATTGGAAGGGACCTCTGGAGATCATCGAGTCCAACCCCCCTGCCAGAGCAGGACCAAAATCTAGGGCAGATCACTCAGAAAGGCATCCAGACGGGTCTTGAAAGTCTCCAGAGAAGGAGACTCCACAGCCTCTCTGGGCAGCCTGTCCCAGTGCTCTGGAACCCTCACAGGAAAGAAGTTTTTCCTCGTGTTGAAGTGGAACTTCCTGTGCTTTTGTGGTGCAGTGTCCCATTGCCACCAGGCCACAGGGAGAGAGGCTGCCAGGTTTGCATCTGTCAGGTGCTCTCTGATCAACGTGATCTCTGGGGAACTGATCTGTAAATGTTTCAGTCACGAGCTCTCTGAATTAGGACCTCCCTTCATTCTGCAGCCCACATGAAAACAGCCTTGTTCACCCCAAGTCCCCAGCATAAGCCAGTCAGCTCTGATGAGAAGCACCACCAAAAGCAGGTGAGACAGCTGAGAATAAATTGGAAAAGCTATGGGTGCCATGTATAAAGGAACTGAATGAAACCATGGATGGATGATGGACCATCAGATGGCACATTCCATTTTGCAGCCATTTCAATACTCTGCTCTCCACAGAAGCCAGTGAAGTTTCCTTGAAAGGGAGGGAAACTTTGAAATGGCCACATCTGTGAAGACCACCCTCCACTTCAATTACTGCCTGTGGGAATGGACTGCATGCTACAAATCCCAGTGTGATCCCAGTTCACCCATCCCCACCTAAGATCCAGCCAAGCTGTCAGTGAAGGAAATTGTGCAGTTCTTTAACCTAGCACAGCTTGTTTATCAATAGCAGCAGAGAGAACAACAGGATATTCCAATGTCCCTTGGGACCTTCCACTACAAGAGGGCAGGTGTCCAAGGGGTAGCGTGGCAGGCTCTGGTTCTGCACGTTGCCCTGGTGGTTGTGGTGGGTGGAACAGATTAGTCACAAGTTCTCAGTTCAGTGTTTGAGCACATTTGTCTAGTTTTATATTAGTCACCTCTACCTGACGTCAGAGAAATTGAGCACAGGCTGCAAACCTAATCCAGAAGCACGTTCAACACCTGATTTCCCATGAGTTGCAGAACTGGGGCATTGCTTTATTTTGCAAGTTTTGGGGTTAGGGTGTTTGGGTTTTTTTTCATCTTGAATGTATGTTTAATATATAATGTATAGCTCTCATCTTCTGCTGTGTTCATGGAAACCATGGACTTGGATCACGAGGCAGTGCTGAGCTGCTTGGAGCTGTCTGAAAAGCTTTGAATAAATTAAAAGAACAATTGGCCTTTTAAAAACATAAAATGTAATTCAGCTCTTCTGTTTGATAACTTATTTTACTGGTATAACTGGCTGGAGGTAGCTCACCCCATGCTTTGTTCCTAAGGGTGTTTGAAATGAAATGCAGGCTCTTTTCTCCAGCTCTGCCTTGTGGGATTAAGTGTTGAAGGGTAGGTTGGATGGGGCTTGGAGCAACCTGGGCTGGTGGGAGGTGTCCCTGCCCATGCAGGGGGGTTGGATCCTGATGATCTTGAAAGTCCCTTCCAACCCAAACCAGTCCGTGATACGATTCTGTGATGATTGTTTTAAACAGGATTTAAAAGGCACCAAGAGGGTTGATGCCCCCCCACTTCTGATTTTCTGAAAGCTGAGCATCTCCCTTCTTTTGGGGCTTCCCCTGCAGCCCCCCAACCTGCTGCAGTGCCACCACCTCACAGCTCTGCTGCAGTCACTGTCCTGTGTGTTTGCCTCTCACAGTGGCCAGTCCACCAGGTGTAGACTTAGAACCATTCAGGTTGGAAAAGACTTGACTGCTCTACTCTCAGAGGAGAAGAATAACCAGTTCTTAATGGGACCCTGATTGTTTTACTCAGCAGGGCATGACATGCCTTCCAAAGCAGCCTTCTGAGCACTTCAGAAAGTTAATAATGAAGTAGGCAGAGGTTAAAGAGGGGCTGAGCAGCTCCTGTGCTGTGGTGGAGCAACCTGGGCTGGTGGGAGGTGTCCCTGCCCATGCAGGGGGGTTGGATCCTGATGATCTTGAAAGTCCCTTCCAACCCAAACCAGTCCGTGATACGATTCTGTGATGATTGTTTTAAACAGGATTTAAAAGGCACCAAGAGGGTTGATGCCCCCCCACTTCTGATTTTCTGAAAGCTGAGCATCTCCCTTCTTTTGGGGCTTCCCCTGCAGCCCCCCAACCTGCTGCAGTGCCACCACCTCACAGCTCTGCTGCAGTCACTGTCCTGTGTGTTTGCCTCTCACAGTGGCCAGTCCACCAGGTGTAGACTTAGAACCATTCAGGTTGGAAAAGACTTGACTGCTCTACTCTCAGAGGAGAAGAATAACCAGTTCTTAATGGGACCCTGATTGTTTTACTCAGCAGGGCATGACATGCCTTCCAAAGCAGCCTTCTGAGCACTTCAGAAAGTTAATAATGAAGTAGGCAGAGGTTAAAGAGGGGCTGAGCAGCTCCTGTGCTGTGGAGCACTGGCTCTCTTGGCCCTGGGAAACAGGAGCCCATCAAACTGTTCTCACTCAGCTTGCCATTATATCACTTAATACATCTGAATTGCAGCCAGTGAATTGCAACAGCAAACTCCATCTTCACTGCATTTTAAAGAGGTAGTGAAGGACTTGGAGGCTTTACCCCTTCCTGTTTTTTCTTGAACAAAAATGATTCTTAGAAGATAAGGAGAAAAAGAAAATCCTACTCATCTTAATCCTGGGAGCTTTTGCTCTGCTTCATCCCTTGCTGAGGCCAGCAATAGGATCACACCTAAAATCAAATTAATCCACTCAAGAGTTGATGTGTATATGTTGCTCTGTGAAAATGTAGCCTGTCTCTGAAATGTGAAGCATGTGATGAAGTGAGTTGTTGGCTCGGGACCTCACAATGTCATTCTATTTCAGAGTGTGTGGGGAGCGCATCCTAATCCCACCCCTCCCTCTGGCCTCTTATTCACAGCAGGATCTATCTTGGAAAGCTCCCAGTAAACTTGGTCTTTGGGGGTGAATATCTTTCAGTCAAGGTTTAAATCCTGTTTTTCTTGTTTATGTGGCTTTGCACACACACACACACCACCCACCCACCCCCCCCCATTCATTTAGGAGAAGATGTGACGAATCTTGGCAGTTCCCAGCTCTGAGAACTGAATTCCATGGACTGGTTCCAATTCCATGTGTTCAGTCCATGGTATTCAGTTCTCTAGCTTGGCTGCATCAAACTTCACAACTACTAAGTCTGTGTGTGGCTTTTAAAATTTTTGTCTGATTTGATTAATGAAAAAGATTCATCCATTTCAGCCTTCTCTGTTCCTTCAGTGTCCTTCCAGTGTGCTCTCAAGATCAGAAACAAATGAATTTGAAGTACAGATAAGGGCAGGGTAGCTCCTGTGAGCTACATCTCTGTAGTCCAGAGTGTTACCTGAACATTTTTCAAATGTTTTCTGTTTTCCAAATCCCTTAGAAGCAGTGCATCCCTTTACTGCACCTAAACAGATGAGTCTCTAAAACTTTTGCAGATGAGAAAACAGGAACCAAGTAGCTCCAGATGAGTGGACCAGTTGTTTTCTCTGTAATTCTCTGGAGCTACAAAGCAGAAAACCAGATGTGAGCAATGGTGACTGTGTGCTGACTGAGAAAGGCTGCAGTAAGAATCTCTTTCAAGAGCAAAATAAACATGTGCGGTTCTTGCTTCAGCTTTTGCTCTCAGAGATCATCAGGCTGCCAGTGCAGGAGTGCACTCCCAGTACACTGACAATTTTAATAAGGTGTTTGCTTGCTTAGGAAAGTGATTATTAAAACAGACTAAAGCACTTAATGCTTCCAGTCTTGTCTGGATTTGTATGTATGGATATATACATCAGTGATCATTTAAAAATGTACTTTGAAACAGCTCTCAAACAAAAAGGGAGCTTTGCTGGAAATTAAAGGTAGCAATTGAGAAACTCAGGTGGCAGGGAGAACAGACCCATGACTGTTCAGGACAAACACTGGCAAATTTGTTTGAACCTTCACTTAAGTGGGTCAGAACATCTGGTTTTCCACAGAGCAGAGTGGCTTAAGTAACTTAAATTGGAGGTTTTTGTATAAATATTAGTGCTTAGGAGGAGGTGTTAGTTAGAAGGGCAGGTTCTACTTGATCTATTAAATGCAAATTTTTGAATTTGAATGAAAAAGAAATATGCTCACCCTCTCAGTTCATCAGCTGCATTTAACTCTTGCTTGTTTCCACAGAAAACAAAGGTAATCCAGCTGGAGGACTTGGCTTCACACTTGGGTTTAAGGACACAGGTAAGTGCCATCTTCTGAGGTGCAAGTGCAAACAATGAGTTTAAAAGGACAGGAGAGAAAGTGGGTGAATGAGGGTAACACCTATGCCTCAGCAGTACTGAAAGTGCTTGGATTTTGGTGAAGTTCAGCAAAACCAGCCCTAAAAACCTGTCCATTCATCAAAGTACCACGCAGGCAGTGAAGGATTGTTGGCTGACAAGATAGTTCCAGGGAAAAGTGCTCAGTCTGCCTCTTGGCAAATGGATCCTACAGTGTTTGCCAACCTAGTAAAAGAGCAATTCAGGGTAGCTGGGGAGCAAAAGCAGAGCTAGAAGCAGCTTCAGAGACTACCTGCAATACTGGGCAATGTTATGTTTGCAGGCAGTCAAGAGCTGAGGTGTTTTGCTCCTATTGCTTGAGTGTTCTTAGAACCTTTAAGAACTGTAAAATAGATTATTTCACTGGGAAGGGACCTACAATAGTCCAACTGCTTGACCACTTCAGGGCTGAGCAAAATGTCTCTGAAACACTGACAGCCTTGGGGTATTGAGCACCTCTCTGGGAAGCCTTTCCCAGTGTTTGATCACTCTCATTTGTATCTTCTGGTGCATTATCCAGAATATTGTCCCTCTGAGCACCACATAAGCCTGTGAAAGTGAGCTCATGGTGGGATACCTGTACTTTATCTTCCCCTCTGTCCTCTTGCTGTTCTCTAAACTTTTTGTTTTGTTTTGGCTCTGAATAATAATCGTGGCTTGGTGTATTTTCATTGGAGGACAGTTGACATGTATTTCCAAGTGACCAGTGTTTTCTGTTGTTCTGTACCTCATCTGATCTTGGGGTCCCCCCTTCACAGCAGCTGACACTGCTGCAAGTCTGGGCTGCTGTGTGCCTGCATCTCTCCTAAGGCAGGACTTCACTTAAGCATGGAGTGAACCAGCTAAGGGAATTTCTCTGGTGGAAATCTGAATTTCCTTCTGCAGTCACATATAGGGAGAGAGGCAGAACTGTGGAAAACAGAGCTTGGAGATTAGCTTAAGGTAGAGTGGAGTTGCATGTTTGGAGGAGCTATGGAGTTAGCCTAGCAATAAATTCAACAAGATGTATTGGTAAAATAAGTTTCCCTTAAAGGGAGCAGGAAAAAAATTATAAAAAGCTTTGGAATGTATTGAGTGTGGCCAGGTCCTTAGAGAAATACCTCAGTGCACTCCATGGGACTTGTGTGTTGCATGGGCACTCTCCATCCCTGGCAGGATGTATATGAGCACCCCTCTTCCATAAAACTGGCAATTAAAGTCTTTTGTTTTTGGAGTAGGGAAGTCATTTGAAGACTCCAAAGTGTAGAAGTTCCCTTCATCCTTCTAAGACCAAAGGGCTTCCTGCAGTGTAGAAACCCTGATGTGTGTCCTTCACTGAAAGGCTTTCACACTGAGGAACTCTGAGCCTCCCTTTGTAGAACATCTGAACATGTGAAGTGTTTCTTTGCCTTCCTCTTGATCAGTTTGTTCCTCCTTTTTCCCTTCTGCACAGGATGCAATTAACAGGATCCAGGACCTGATGGCAGATGGCACTCTGACAGGTGACAGCCAAATCACAGAGGGGACTTGGTTTTAGCTGGAGAATAGGTGGTGCAGAAAATGCCTTCACTGTGCTAGAGAGAGGCTTCCAGTGTCATTTCCCATTTAAACTGTAGAAGATCCCAGTAGGACCTGATAAATAAGAGATTTTTACTATTTTGACTACTTCAGCTGCTGTGAAGCTGCTGTTCAAAGCACTATGGGTTGTGTCCAGGAACCAGCACAAGGTTCTGCAGGTGGGCTGAGCAGGCAGCTGCCTGTGATGTCTTCTGAAATCTGAATTAGAAAGCATCACTGGGATGTTTTGGGACAGTTTAGGAGCCTGTTGTAAAGGTGTTTGTGACTACAGCCCCGGGATGCTGTGGGAGAAGCAAACATCCCAGAGCACTCCAGTAGATGAAGTGCTTGTTCCAGGCCATCAAACCACACAATCCAAGTTGGAATGTAAGCAGAGACTGAGCATGGGGGTCGCTCCCTGGCTGGGCAGGTGTATTAAAGTTTGGTTTCTTGCTGGGCAGCTCTTTCTTGCTCAGGGGGAAGAGAAGGGGGAAGGTGCCAGTGCAAACATTTCCTGACCTCAAACTGTGGTTGTGGCTGGGAAACAGCCCTTGTGGTGGGGGGTGTGTGGGTGCTTGTTGGAGTGAGCTGAAGTGTCTGAAGCAAAGAGGAGGGGTACCTCCTGCCCTGGCTGTGTCCATGGCCTTGCAGGGTAGTCCAGGGAGGCTCCCTGCCTCGCGTTTGGTCCTGAAATGTGTTAAAAAACAGAGATTATTCTCACTCTTGCTGAAGCAATTGAAAAATGGAAATTGAGCTTCCATTCCCTTCTAGAGGGTAAATTAGGGTGGCTGAGCTGGGCCCCCCAGGGGCTCTGGGTCACCTCCAGAGCCCTCCTGCTGCTCTGCCTTTCCCCACCTGGCCCCAGCAGAGCAGCCCCCAAACTTGATACTCAGCCTGGCTGCTGCGATGAAGAGCTTGTCGCTTCCCTGAACTCAATTAGTCTCACCAAGGCCACTGGGCTGTTGTCATAGCTGCTCAGAGACCTGACAGCAGAGAGGAGATAAAAGCCTGGCTGCCAGCAGGTTGTTCTGCCTGCCCTAGATCTGAGGTGCAGCCTCAGCAGCTGGAACATCCCCTTCCAAAAAGAAGCCACTGATGTCAGTCGGGAGGCGAGAGCAGCCCCGGCACTGACTTCCAGGCCCTTTCTTTTCCCCCAAATCCCCACAGGTGTGATTGATGACAGAGGCAAGTTCATCTACATCACTCCAGAGGAGATGGCTGCCGTGGCTCAGTACATCAAGCAGAGAGGCCGGGTGTCCATTGCAGAGCTGGCCCAGGCCAGCAACTCCCTCATCAACCTCCAGCCCGACAGCTGGGCAGTCGCTCCGCCCATGGCCTGAGTTGAACCTGTTCTTGAACCAGCCACATCTTTCAAAACAAACAGGAACCCCTCGAATCCCTTCACCCTGCTGGAAGAGAAGAGGCTGGTTTGTAAGCTGCAAGACTTGATCAAAAGGTTCTGTTGCCATTTTCTTTCAGCTGGATAAAAAACCGGGTCATTTGTACAACCCAGGCTCGCCAAGAGCTTTGGGACAGAAACACCCTGATGTACCTGTACCCCCTGAATAGCAGTCATTTTTACACTGTTGCTTTATCTTGGCAGCCAGTCTCTACCCAAATTTCTTTATTGTTTCCAGGTCCTGATGTCTGTATCCAATATGCTTTGATTGCATTCTCCAGGCTTGCTCTGTGCTTGCAGAGCTGGGGTAACGTCGTGGCAATGGCACATACAGCCCAGAATAATAGGGTGGGTGGCAATAAGAATAAGAATAAGAATAAGAATAAGAATAAGAATAAGAATAAGAATAAGAATAAGAATAAGAATAATGCTGGGATTTTTGCCTTCTGTATCAACATTGCAAGGCCAGAGTAAAAAGAAAGCCCTGCCAGCGTGTTGCTGTTCACATAAGCTCTAGAGATGTGAGAACTTCCAGAGGTTATTTCAGGAAACTTTTGCTGTATAAATGTTTTCCTTGGTTTCTAGAATATAAAAGGCTTGCTCACAGCCAAGCTGCATTCTTGTTTTTTCTGTGGCCAAGAGACAGAAGCACCTCTAGGGAAAGGCCTCATGAGTTGTGCAGGTCAGTTCTGCTGATGCCACGCTCTGGTGATTCATCCTTTGAAGGAAGAGCCAGCTCAGTGTCTCTGAAGGCCTCACACACCCCATGGCCTTTGTGTTTTGGATGGTTTTTAAAAATAAAAAACAAATTAAAAAACAAACCAGGCACTATGAGTCATGCAATTAATGTTGCAAGTGATTATTAATATATTAATTAGCAGAGTCAAGTGTATTTCCTGCATAAGGATATATTTTATTTTAATAGCCTGATTGATGCTTTTTGATGTTTTTTGATGTTGAATTGATGTTAATTCTCCTTTCTGAAATCAACAGACTCTGTGTGAGTATAAAATAATTGAGAGGGCAAGAGGGGCTGGTTTTGTCTCTGCCAAACTTAGAGGTCACCTGAGCAGACTAAAAGCCACGTTGTCAGTGAGATGAGATGGCAATAAAAGGGTGGAAGGAAGGTGATTTCCTGTGGGATTTCTGCACTGCTGCTGCTTGTGATCCCCTGCAGGGCAGCACCTCACCTTGGGGTGCAGGGTGGGTACCTCATTCCTCTGTTGCACAGTGATGAGCAGCAAAAAGATGACTTGAGGTTTGACACTTGTCAAGTCTCCTAATAATTCAAAATTTGGGTTTTGCCATGATGATTTTTTTTTTCTTCTGCCCTAAACTGTTCTTTTCATCAAATAAACAATGTTGGAAGAATTGCAGGTATTTGGATTTGAGATGTCTTTTTTTTTTAATGTGTCACAAAGTAGTGGGGGTTGGAAGGGATCTCTGGAGATCATCTAGGCCATGGAGATGATGGGAGGGCTGGAGCAGCTCTGCTCTGGAGCCAGGCTGGGAGAGTTGGGGTGTTCAGCCTGGAGAAGAGAAGGCTCCAGGGAGACCTTAGAGCACCTTCCAGTGCCCGAAGGGGCTCCAGGAAAGCTGGGGAGGGGCTTGGGACAAGGACAGGGAGGGGTGGGATGAGGGGGAAGGGTTTTAAACTGAAAGAGGGGAGATTCAGATGAGAAGTTCTTCACTATGAGGGTGGTGAGAGCCTGGCCCAGGTTGCCCAGAGAAGCTGTGGCTGCCCCATCCCTGGCAGTGTTGAAGGGCAGGTTGGATGGGGCTTGGAGCAACCTGGGCTGGTGGGAGGTGTCCCTGCCCATGCAGGGGGGTTAGAACTGGATGATCTTGAAGGTCCCTTCCAACCCAAACCATTCTGGGATTCCCAGTATTGTGTCTGGACCTATCCCTGGCCATGCTGTTCCTAAGGTTGTGGAATTCTTGTATGGACAGTGGAGCAGGAGTCCAGCAATGAGCTTTGGAAGTGCCACCATCATCTGGCTGTGACTGTGTGGTAGTCTCAGGTGAAACATCAGCAGGATAAGGTGTGTCCATGTAGCTGTTCAGCAGCTGCTCTGTGTGTTTTCATCCTCTTCCACCATTTCCATGCCTGGTTTTTCTCACTAATCACATCCCAGGAAAACTCATTTCACTGGTGTGGGCACTGGGTCTTGTGTGATCTTCACTGCATGTGAACTGAGAGACCAGCCTCTTCTGCCAGACAGGAAAAAAAAATCCAGGTACCAAACAGCAGGTAGAAGCTGCCAGTTCTCATGGAAACTGAGAAGGAAACTGTGCGCTGACTTGAAGGAATTCTTTCCCTGGTCAGGATTTCTTGGTCACCTCAGAGCAGGAGGTGCAGGAAGAAAAAATCCAGGTACCAAACAGCAGGTAGAGGCTGCCAGTTCTCATGGAAACTTAGAAGGAAACTGTGCCCTGACTTGAAGGAATTCTTTCCCTTGGGCAGGATTTCTTGGTCACCTCAGAGCAGGAGGTGAGGACAAACTGCTGGTGCTCTGCCCCCAGGTGCCCTTCAGCCCTGTCCCCTGGGGAGCAGCCACCACTGTGAAATTGTAACTGAGTTTTCTATCCCAAAGGCTTATGCTGGTTTCTCAAAATCCATTTTTGGAGGTGAAGGGAACAGTTTAGAACCTGAAAACACCATTTGTCTGGATGGTTTATAAATGAAACTGTTCAAACTTAACACTGCTCCTGAAATCTATGTTCATGTTTTTATTCTGGCAGTGGAGGGGGAAGAAATTCAGGGCTGTGTCCCCCAAAATTCTTTCACTGGCAGGATTCAGAAATCATAGGATAACTCACATCTCCTGTATGCCATGGATACAGACACCTGAAGGGGAAGGCAGTTACCCCTGGGAGGGTTCAATGAGGGGACACCCCAGGATGTCTTGGGATGTTTTACAGGGTCAAGCACAAAATCTTCCCACCCCATTTGTCTGCTCCCCCCTCCATTACACAAGGCAGAGTCAGCAACAAAATACAGGACAGAAAAATAGTGGGAAAATAGGAAATAAAGGGAAAAAAAACAGGATCACTGGAGGTTTGGGGGAGTCCCTGTTAAACTTGGCCTGTGCCTTATGCAGCTTTTATCTCTGTGTTCTCCCTCTGAAGTGGCACAAGAGCTCCCAGGTACTTGGCTTGTACATGAGAGGAATCATAATTCCAATTATTAGCTCATTTGAGTGAGCTTGTCCTAATTTTGCCATTCCACCCCAAGGCAAAGACCAAAAAAGGAAATCAATTGAAAAACCTCATCTTCATAGCACACAAGGTAAGATCCAATCAAGGAAAACTCCAGCTGCTTTATCAAGGAAAGGTTTTGGTCCATGTGAAGATTTAACAGGTTATAAAAATGCACAGCAGGAAATGACACAAGTTTTATTTTATAGAATCATAGAATCCCAGACGGGTTTGGGTTTGAAGGGACCTTCAAGATCATCAGAATCCAACCCCCTGCATGGGCAGGGACACCTCCCACCAGCCCAGGTTGCTCCAAGCCCCATCCAACCTGCCCTTCAACACTGCCAGGGAGGGGGCAGCCACAGCTTCTCTGGGCACCCTGGGCCAGGGTCTCACCACCCTCACAGCCAAGAATTTCTTCCTCATGTCTAATCTAAATACTCCCTTCTTCAGTTTTGATCCATTCCCCCTCATCCCATCCCTCCCTGCCCTTGTCCCAAGCCCCTCCCCAGCTTTCCTGGAGCCCCTTCAGGCACTGGAAGGTGCTCTAAGGTCTCCCTGGAGCCTTCTCTTCTCCAGACTGAACACCCCAACTCTCCCAGCCTGTCTCCAGAGCAGAGCTGCTCCGGCCCTTGGGTCATCTCTGTGGCCTCTTCTGGACTCTCTCCAACAGCTCCATGTCCTTATTTATCCTGAGCCCTGCCTGAAACATCTCCCCGGCTTCCCTTGCCCTTCCCGAGGCCCCTCCAGGTCTCCAGGAGGTGGCAGCAGCAGATCTCGCATCCTCCTCCCCGCGCTGCATTTCCATGGCAACGGGAGCCAAGCATCCCCCAGAGCTTGGAGGGCGACCACAAGGTGAGGGAATTCCACTGCAAAGAGCCCACCTCCCGGCTTCCCTGGGCTGGGGAAAGGTGGAAGGAGGCTCTTATGATCCCTTTGCTCCTCACCCAGCATCGCCCCAAAGTCATGGAGGTGACAACCCCAGAATTACAGCTGGATCAGCCTCAGGTTGATGAGGATGGGTTTTTTTTAACTCCTCTTTTAGCAGGAGGGAAGAGCTACTGCAAAACCTGAGCAGCTCCTTGGATGTACCAGCAAAATGTCCACAAGCACCATCTTGGGCCTGGGGAAGGAGCAACCAGAGCAGGGACACGTTCGGGAGCTTCAGCCCTTCCTGCTGCCCAGGAGCAGCTCCAGCCTGCAGGGACCTGGGGTCCCTGCTTCCCAGGGACCTGCCACCCCAAGGAAGCTGCTTGGCACGTGTCCTCAAGTCCATCTTGTGCTGGTGGCAGGAGAGGCAGCACTGGGAGCTAATTAGCACCTGCTAATAGGCAGGGTAACGAAATCTGGCTCCTCAGGCAGGAAAGTCGTTGAGGTCCCTGCTGGTTTTTTGCAGGTGGAATTTTTTCCTTGCAGTTTGGCAGCACGTGAAGTTGGGTCACCCCTGGGGACCTGTCCCTCCAGCCCTGGCTAATGCCACCCACCTGAGGGGTCAGTTATGGGCTGGTCATGCAGCAGAGCTCTGGGGAGCCAGCTCAGACCTGCTCTGAAATGAGACCAGGGCAGGTTGGATGGGGCTTGGAGCAGCCTGGGCTGGTGGGAGGTGTCCCTGCCCATGCAGGGGGGTTGGAACTGGATGGTATTGAAGGTCCCTTCCAACCTAAACCTGTCTGGGATTCTATGAAAGAATCATAAAGTCATAGAATAGCTAAGATTGGAAGGGACCACCAGCCCAGGCTGCTC